ATCCAAGATCATTATTAAAAAGCATAGTTGTAGAAACTTAATACCATCATCCACCTGAAATATATATATGTATAATTGAAGGTTTAGAGACCAAATGATAATTTCCATTCCTTCCAAAAACTCTCCTTGGCCAGAGTTGAATCTTTGCTTCATTTCAGAATTAAGACTCTAGGATTTGTATGATAATTGTGTGAGATAATGTATGTAGAATATTTAACACAGTGGTAGGCCCTGAACTAATTATTGGAGGTAATCTTCCTCCAACATCTCTACCTCAGTTTGTTTGGGAAAAAACCTGGAAGAGTATTAAAGACAGTACAAAACATTTTTGGAAATACAAAAGATAAAGGTGTAATCAAATTTCACATCACAAAGAAATGATTAAGTTTTGCAATGATAAATATGTTAATCATCCTAATTAGATCATCACACTTTGTATACATATACCGAAATATAACTCTGTATCCCACAAATATGTACAATCAATATGTTTCAATAAAAAATTAATTAAAAAATGTTTTGTCTTTTTTTTCAGTATTGTGGTTCTGTTTTGTTACAATTCAATTTATAAACTCAGTAGTAAAAGGAAAAAAGGGCAATTTTCAAGGAAGCTGATTTGGGAACAGGCACTAGGCTGGGTAAAGGTGGGTGTCAAGAGACAGTTTCACTTAGTCACCAGTACCCATTCCACACAGCTCTTCATTTTGACTGTTAACATTTCTCCAAGAGTTTTTTGTAGCTTTTTTTCCCCACAGACATCTTCTCATTTTTTATGAAGTCAGGGAAAAACAACAAATCGAGGCCCACGTACAGAATACTCAAATGTTTAAATTGTATAACTCTAACTAACAAGTGGTCAAGGAATATCTTTTATCTTCCTACTTGGATAATATTATATAACTTTATAATGACCTGAAAGGCTGGCTAGAGTTTGGAATTGTCACACCTTGGAATGGAACAGTGTTGGTTTGTCTACATTAGGAAAAAACAAAACAAACAACAGGGAGAAAAGGCTGGGGAAGCCCCTGGATCAAACAGAGAATTTGGGATTGACAGTACCAGAAGGGACTCTAGGAGCCAGAAAACTTCACAGACTTCCCTGGCAGTTGGGTTAGATTGGGAGCATCTGGAAGGGCCATAGAGACGTACTTTACTGTGTTGGCCCCAGATCAAGGGCAACTCTTTCACCCTCCACTGCTTTTTTTCTGAAGCCAAGACAAGAGGATGGTCTGTCCAGTAAACAGTAAAAGCTCCTTCTTGCACCTTATAATCTCTCACTTTTCTTTTTCCAGAATTCTCTTGGCTTCCCCTGCCCCATTTGACTAGCTCTATTCACTGGCATTGGTTTAACAGGTTACTCCCCACTCTAACTCCACTCTGCCCCATGAATCAGGGCGTCGGCTCAGCCATTTCCCTTTTCCATAGAGATTCTCTCTCCTACGTCCTTGCCATCTGTTCCCAGAATCAAACCTCCAGTTCTATCTCTGGATGACTTAATCCAGGGGAACTCCCAGATCTCAGAAGAGTCCAGCAAAGGCATAGAGATTTTATGGTGGAACAATCCAGCTTTGAGAAGCTGGGCTCTCTCCTGTCCTCTCCTGCTGGAGGTTTGTTCCGTCAGCTCCTCAGAGACTTGCTTTCTCACTCCACTGTCCCAATGTTCTCTGTACAGCCAAGGCTGTTTTGTAAAAACTCTAGAGCACAGAACCAAGCTGCTTCTCCAGAATTTATAGCTTGGCTCCTTTAGACTGCATGTAAGCTATCTGGAGTAAAATAAATGGAAACTGTTGCAAGGATCCGAAGTGGCCTCTTTTCCTACCCCATAAGTCATAGACTAAATGTGTTGGGGGTAAAAGCCTCCATGATATTTATTTTCTCAGGTAGAAATAAATTATGATTTGCCTGAATACAACTCCTTTCCACCCTGCTCTGACATAAGCTTTCCCTGGAAAGGAGCTTTCTAGCCATTCTCTCTAGCAGTGAAATTGGGGAGTTCCAGGCGGTGAGTACTATATTCTGCTGTTGAGAGAAAACCTTAGGTAGCTGTATTTTGAGTGTGAAAGGCAGGAGAAATGTCCACCCTGGAGTGGAGGCCAAATTTGTTTTCACATTAAAGCCTTATGTTAAAACACAAAAACAGGGCTGGCCGATT